TCTATTAAAGTAAACGAATCAATGCATTTTCCACGAACCTACAAATTTAACTACAAAATATTGTATACACTTTTATCTCCATAAATGTTTTCTCACGTGCAGGTGTGTGTTCACGTATTTCGAGCACTGCAAGCACATGTATTTTTCTGAATTCTCATGCAAATGGAAAGTGGGATTTGTATGCTATTCAATTGTAATGCGCCTAAAAGCTCACTTGACATGCAATGGAAATGTTTCGTTAAGCCATGCGTGCGCTGATTTCAATTGTCGATGACAACCATTAGATACTCAATGTCGAAAAACTTCAACCCATCCACTCATGCACACACTCGCACTCACACCCGCACTCGCATTCACACCCGCACTCACACTCACACCTTTGTGCATCTCATACTCATACTCCTACTCATCCTACTCGATATACACATGCCCTTATTTGTTTGTATTTATGAGTGCGGAGCATGTATGCCTGTATCAATGTTTTCCTACTCGTACTTTATTGCACTTGTAAACGCGGCTTGCACTGCAGTTGTAGTCGTAGTTGCGCCTTTGTGTTGCTGTGTTGGTGTCTTGATGAGCGCTCTACTGATATTTTAATATAGTGGAAGCGTGCGCCAGGATAAGTGCTCCTACTTAATAACTAGGTTTTCGCTTTTTAAGAGGTTCATGTTGGCTATTACATTATTAATTGAATGTTTTACAGCAATAACATGGAATTTTGACTTGCTCCTCTATATTTGCGTATAATTCAGTGAATTACAATTTTATGACCTCAAATTTATTCCGAGTAAAGTGCCTCACTCGTTAGCTTATGTGAGGTAATACAGAGAAGTATCTTATTAAACGATTAGTTTTGAAACGTTTAAATTGGATTTACATTCTATATCAAAAACAAAAAAAAAATAGATTTATAGAAAATACAATAATTAGTGATTTAATTAGGAGCTTCTGTGATTAGTCTGACAATTACATCAGACAATAAGTTCAGAGGACGAATATAGATGGTGCTGCCAGCAAAAAATCTATATTAATTCAAAAAGTGACTACCTTTTATAGTTTATACCTATTTGAAGTAAACTGTTGTAATTTCCAAATCACGAGAAAACTTTAAATATAGCTATTTTATTATAACAACGGTTTATAGGATGATATATGGATGATATTGATGTTATTGAACATCTACATGAATTTACGAAAATGGCCCAGCACAGTTTAAGTGAAAAATTTGTTGTCAATTTGACGTTTAGTCCAGTAAGAAAATAGTCTCGCACAGTTTATGTCAAAAATTTGATGCCAACTTGACGTTTAGTCCTCAATTCAGTGAAGCTTAACTTTAATTTTTACAAGAAGGACAACATCTGAATATCGTATATTGATGAAAGTCTATTTTTTATAACATCGATTAATAGGATGAAATGCAGATAATTCTATTTGCGAGAATCTATACAAATTTCAAAAAATGGCCACCTTTGCAAAGTTTCTATCAAAATTTTGACACCAATTTGACGTTTAGTTTCGAAGTCAGAGAGGTTGAGTGAAAGTACTTTTGTAATATTTAAAATATAACAAAAATCTGAATATCTTATATTAATAAAACACTATTGGGTGAAAGCCGCCCAAAGCGACCAAAGACGCAGCAGTTGGCTGGCAAGGTTATGGCGTCTGTATTTTGGGATGCGCATGGAATAATATTTATCGACTATCTCCAGAAGAAGACCATCAACAGCGACTATTATATAGCGTTATTGGAGCGTTTGAAAGACGAAATCGCAAAGAAACGGCCTCATATGGCGAAGAAAACAGTTTTGTTCCACCAAGACAATGCACCGTGTCACAAGTCGATGAAAACGATAGCAAAATTGAACGAATTGAGCTACGAATTGCTGCCGCACCCACCGTGTTCTCCAGATCTAGCCCCCAGTGACTACTGGCTCTTCGCAGACCTCAAAAAGATGCTCCGTGGTAAAAGATTTGGCTCAAATGATGAAGTAATCGCCGAAACTAACGCCTATTTTGAAAGCAAAGAAAAATCGTTTTACAAAGGCGGTATCGAAAGATTGCAAAAGCGTTACAATGATTGTATTTCCCTAAAAGGGGACTATGTTGATGAATAAAAACGAATTTTGGCAAAAAAATGTGTTTTAATTAGTTAGTCACACACATTATTGAACGAAGTGTTAACAACGGTTCAATTGATTGATGGTACCGTTATTAAAAATCTTTACAAATTTAAAAATACGGATTTCTGCATATAGTTGATGTCGAAATTTTAATGTCAATCTTATGTTTAGTTCTCACGTTTGTGAAGCTAATTTTTAATTTTTAGAAAAAGGGAAAAAACCTAGCAATTGGTTAAAAGTACCATATTAAATATTTATCAGTGAACTGATAACTTTTTAGATAACTAAAGAGGCACTTACATACCAAACAATGAAGAGCGTGACCTACCGACTTTAATGACTATTCCATAAAACATTAATATATATATATATATATATATGTTAACGCTCGCGAATTTTCGAATCCGGCCCCTGCGTTTTTTTCATTGACGGCAGAATAATGCGATTTTATTCGATCAGCTTATTGCCACCAAACGGGAAAAGTCCCGTTTGGCTTTCGTAGTTCTTAACTGCAAGAAAGAAGCTTGTTCACTTTCTTTTGGGCTATTGAAGCAACTACACGTGATTAAAAACTTGGTTTTATTTTGAAAGAATTATTAACTTATTTATTAAAAATAATCAAAAAAAAATCATTGATCTGCTGCTCTTCTTAAAATAAAGTAGATTTCACACTCACAAAGTGTGTTCGTATTGAAATTATGAAAAATATAAAATATCTTCCCTGTGTAGTCAATAAAAAGTTGTGAAAATAAAATATAACGTTATTAAAACTAATAGTTAAACAAAGCAAATAATGTTTCTTATGCAAATGCCTACATTTATTGTTTTTCCTTTTTTATTTTGTTTACCATATTTTGCTTTATAGAAACCTTTTAGGCTTGCTCGCCGTTTTTATGAATGGTCATAAAAATTGGTATTATCACAGAAACATGTTGAATCAAGCTTAATCTTTTTCCTATTATGCTGCCAACTCGCATTTAGCACGCATAAATAGGCGCTTTGCCATAAGTTGTTATTGAAAAAATGGCAAAGAATAATAATTCGCCTAAAAGTAGAATAGAAAATAGAAATTTTTAAGGCCACATTTCGTATGCCATTTTGAAAAGATCTACTTAGCCTAACCAATTGTTATGATTATGGGTGTAAGACTCATTCATTTGCACATGAGTGTACCCAAGAGGGCAATTCACGTGAACAAAAGCTAAACGCAAATAAGTGAATAATAACAAAACCAAAAACAAAAAAAATAGATAAACACAATACACTAGCAAACCGTTTTTCAGCCTTTTATACGAGAACAACAACTCCTCATACGGCAAGAGATATTAAAAATAATTCCCGCATATAGAAAATGATGCTCCAAATATTTATTCTGAGGAAATTTCATTTTGTTTAAATAGTTGTTACATTTCATATCTTCAATAGCCTCTTACATTATTAAAGCCCTTGGCCATGGTTAAAGAAGGAGAGGTAGAAAAATGAAACACCAGAACAAAGTGTGTATTTTTTGCCATAATCAGGATGTCATCACAGTAATAGTAATATCGCATAATATAATGCATTAAATAAAGTCAAATATTTGCTAAATGAAATTACTTTTTTTATTATATATATATATAAAAATATCAGGCATGATAGCCATCTAGGTGTTCCAGGCAGGCAAACTAAGATCATCGGTAGGTTCCTACATGTCATTTCGCCCGAAAATCAACAGTGATCTCTCGTCAGTCCGAACTATAGAAGCAATGGTTCCTCAGGGATCGCCACTTTCCCCCACTCTCCAAAACATTTATACATCTGATATTCCAATGTTAGGTCCCTCGACCCTGGCGTTATATGCTAGCTACACGCGTATGCTATATTCGAATAAATGTGCTCTCAACATAACCAACACACTTCAAGAGCATATAAACCTCATCCTGGAGTATTTTCCAGAAATGTCAAAATAAAAAGTGAAGCCACAATCCGTCGAGAGTGACAGTGAGAGATATAGTAATAAACCTGAAGGATAGCATTAAATATCTCTATATCACGTTGGACAAACGATTCACATGGCTTAAATATGTTCAACTGAAAAAAAGTAGCTGTGCCAAAATTCTTCAACACCTCCAACCACTATTCAAAAATGAAAATCTCAATGCTAAGAACAGGAAGCTGATATATAACCAACTAATTCGTCCGTCACTTCTATATGGATGTGTAGCGTTTAACAAAGCCCCAAACACTACTATTCGTCAATTAGAAATTGTACAAACGCCAGGTTCTAAGAAGACTTTTCAAGGTACCATGGTACATTAGGACGAATGACATCCTCAGGGAGGATCAAGATTGATCCGATCAAAAAATGCATAAAGGATAGAGCCCTGAAATTATTTATGAAAACTGACAGACTTACCAACACCGCGTTATCGAATCTTCAAAATGTTTGAAGGCTCCTCAGGGAGGTATGCAGATCTGAGGTCAATTGTTGCTTAGGCTGATGAAGTGATAAACAATAATCCAGTCAAGGCGAAGAGAGGAGTTTTGAATATACCTCGAGTAAAGGAAAAGTAAAAGTGCTCAAGTGCACTAGCTCAAAGAGCTTCAACATAATAATAAGAACGCTCCTGAAATATATATAATGCATGGAATATTATCAATATTTATTATTAGGCAAAATGTATTATTGAAGAAAAATAAATTTTAAGTTTTCTTATGTATGTAAAGTAATAAAATGCTTTACTCACCTTTTAGATAATATTTTATCTAATTTTGTAATGAAATATCTAACACAATAAATTATCATTTAAATAAGATTGCATTCTTAGTGAGGAACAATATTTATTTTAACGTTTACAGAAGAAAGTAATTCGAATATAAAATAAAAATTCTTGTTTTGCTTTTAGTTATATTTTGAAATTTAAAAATTGTCCTTTAAATTCATAAAATAAATATTTATTATTAACATGCAATCATCACACCCATTTACTGTATTCAATCCTTTGCGTATGGAGGCATTGTTCGTTGTTTGTTCAAGCCAACATCCCACCATTCAAAGGTTTCAACATGTTCAATTCCAACTTCAATTGATTTATGAAATACTTGTAGAGATAAAAAGTGATGATATTTTACATGAGTGTGTAATTTTTCATCATAAGTGACATGTATGTCCTTAATTTGATTATGATATCGAGCTTCTTCCTCAGTGACGCAAATGCAATTCCAGGGCGCCCAAGGTTCACTTCGAACCCAACGTGGCAATCTACACAAAAATATTTCATTTAAAAATGGAATGTTATGTTCGATTTTTCAAGAGCTAATTTCTATTTTATATTGGAAATAATACAAAACATAAATGCGAGCATATTTTATAGTATGAATTACCTTAATATTCGTAAATCGTTGTTCAAACTAAGTATCGATCTGCCATGCCATATTTTTTCGATAATATAACGTATATCATCAATCTGCATTATAAAGGCTAGAGAGCCCGGTGTATGTCTTAATTTCTCATCGCGGTGCATGGCGCGTAGAACGGCTTTAAAGAACATTGTATTTCGGCCAGCAAGCTATATTATAGATTAAAAATTAAATTAATTAATTTAAAATATTTATTATCTAACATATAAGTCATACTAACGTTCACAGACTGGCACTTCTCGCAAGAAGTAACTTGTTCTTTGCGAACGCTTAAACTGAATTTGCTAAGCGGCTTAACCTTTGAACAAACTTCACACAAGTGTTTTGGAATTTCTAGGAAAATAAATATTTGAAATATTGAGAAAATTAGAGATCTAAAGCCGATCCAAAAAATATTATTAATATTAAAAAATATTAACATTAAATTGCCCAAACTATTTAATGTTTATAAATAAAATAAATGCAAATAGTCTCAAATCCGATGACAGTTTTAAAGTCGGTTTTGTTTTTTCAGAATTTTAGGAATTTTTGGAATTCGTAAAATTAGGAACCCTCCTGGTAAAGGCAAAAGCGAATTTGCCGAAATACGTATTAAAAATGTACCAAAAAATAACGATCGGAATATGAGCTAAAATTCTGAAAAAACAAAACCGACTTTAAAATATTTTCGGCATAACAATTCAGAAAGTAAAAAACAAAATGATGATGAGAGTTGTTTTTAGAAATAAATAAATATAATTTCAATAATCACGTTCTGAGTTCACACCATGCTGGAAACGTTCAATGAATTTTTCAGAAAATTTTTTGTGCTTTTTTTTATTATTATTAAATAATAAGCTATAAATTCACGCCGACCTAAAAGATCTATTGCGCGCCTAATGACCCAACTAAAACAATTCTAGACTAGTAATAAATATCATAATTGTTATGTGATTAATTTAACCTATTTAATTTGTGACTATGATCCCATTTCCAAGGTAGTCAAGTCTACGTCTATCCGCCGTTGGACAGTTACATAGAACATGTTCTAATGTTTCCATCTCCTCATGACAATGTCGAACGGAATCACTTTCTATCGCACTTATATTCTTCATGTGATAATTGAGTCCTGTACAGTGTCCTATAAGAAATTCAATGTAGAGTTTAATATCGTTTTTGCGAAGGTTAAGTATAGCATCAACTTTGATGTGTTCAGGATCAAAAAACCTTGTTTACTGCCGCATGCCTGTTTGGGCTCTCCTGTATTCAAGTAGATTTCGTTTCTCTCATTCACATATTAAGTTATTTGTGAAACTATTTGTCACCCCGCAGAAGGCCTCTGGACCAAAGAAAACCGTACATGCACCTTTCTTTGCTAGGATGTCTGCCATTGCATTGCACTTATGTCCCGGTGCACATATAAGAGTAACAATGTTCCTCGATGCTAGAGTAATGAGGAGTTGAAAACATTCGTAGACCACCTTTGATTGGAATGAAGAGTTTCCTAAAAATTTTAGAGCTACTTGGCTGTTGGCTGCTTGGCGTGCCCATTAAATTGCCTTCTTTAAGATTACATAGATAAGGAAGCCTTAGTGTGGCACTCGTCGCAGTCCTTTTAACCATAAGGTATAATGGAGTGACTCCAGCAAACAGTGCTAGGACATAAACATTGCTAAGGACCATTTTAGCCTTTGTCCGAACTTCCTTTGACCATTATGCTAAGGAAACAGAGGTGATTATTTTGGTACTATTACGGTCTTGTACGACCAAGTCATCATTTTTGGTTATTTTTTTGTGTTTAAAATAGCGCTTAATCCTTTTGGTATCGAAGCGATGTTCTCTCATCTTTAGTTTTAGTTTGAGGAATAACCAAAAGTCATACGGAACCAAATCAAGTAAAAAAGGTTAAGAACAATAAAAATCACAATTTCGTTGATCGAAAAGTCAGATTTTGTGCGATGTTCGGCTTTCAATATTTCAACTAAATCGATTCAATTCCTACTGAATAATTAATAGGCCGGTTAACGAATTTGCTTGGCAAGTTAAGACAGTCACGCAAATACAGTGACTTATGGTGTTTTACCATAAGTTCTTCATATAATATCCTATTAGGTTAATATGTTTTTCATCTAAGAGATGATAAATAGTTTTCTGTATACAATTTTTAGTTCCTTTTATTATAATATTTTGTTTAAGAAAAAACTGTCCATAAAAATTCATTACAGTGCTTACCTTCCGTTTTTGGATCACTATAGGTTCTTATTAGTTCCTTGAACAAAAAATTTAAACGTCTATGTAGTGTGTAAGTATTATTTACTTTTATTCGAGTGTGTTTTAAAATATTGATTTCCCGTTCCACTAATTCAAAAAGCTATAGATGTAATTACAAAAAAAAAAAATTTTGCTTTAACTAGGCATAATTATGTGAATTGTATTATATTTGAATTTAACCTCTGCAAGTTTCTTGAAATGTTTTTCACGACCGAGCATCCTCTTTACTTCGGTCAAAATTTTGATTCGTTCTTTCATTTGTGTAGGTCTCTTCAATTCAGCGAGCATGTCATTCAATAATTTTGCGCGTTGAACTCTTAACAAATACAGATCCACTTTCAAATCTTAAAAGAAATTTGTGAGTCTAATCAGCCACATAACATAAATAGACCTTTTTACCTTTATAACTTATAAATTGCACTGGATCTCCCAGTTTTGCTAAATTTCTTTCATCAAGTACTTCTTGCCTTTTCTTTACAGCCAAAACTCTACGTCGATCAAGCTCTACAAGCATACGCGACTCAGCAGAAAGCAATTCAATGAGTTCAGCAATGCGACTGGCTCCATGACGAAGGCTATTAATTCGATCAACCTCGGCTGTTCTCCATTTGAAAACTTCATTGTAAAGTAACTCAAAATGTTCTTGGCTATATGGAAATTTTTTTAATCTCTCTATACGTGCAATTAGTCTTCTTTGTTCTTTATAAAAATCGCTTTCATATTTATCAAAATTTCTTCGAAGTCGGCTAATAATAAAGAAATATATTATTAAATTTTTTTTTAGTATAAAACAAAAGAAGAAGTTATTACCGTAGTTCCTGTCCAACCCACTTAAAGGTTGCCTTCATATTAAGCCGACGGAGGTAATGCTGCATTACAGTAATTCGTTCTATACGCCTTTCTGCTCTCTTCATCTGATAATAGGTTATGTATTTGGTAGGAATTATAATTGCATCTTTATCTGACGAGATAAACCGAACATTAACACCATCTAACCAACATTGCGATGCTTTATCATGCATGGTGTCCTGTAGAAAATAAATTAAATTAAAGATATTAAATTAAATATAAAATTTTGAATTAAAAAATGTTAAATTAAAGGACCTCAGGGAATCAGGAAAACGTACATTTACAGTTTCTGCATAATATTGCGTTTGAGTATCTACGCTGTAGTAGTATCTTCCAACCCATTTGGTGGCCGTGTTTGCTGGCCCAGTTTGAGTGAAAGCCTCCATATATATTAAACCTTAAAAGCAAATCATATTATAATAAAGAAATTGTTAATAAATAAAATCAATTACTTTAACATATACATTGTTCTGATGAAATATAATATCTCGAATTTTGAGTACGATAGAATAGAATAAAGATATAGGCTTGAACATACAACTACGACTTAATTAGATTTTATTACTGCCCTAAGTAATAAAATATAATGTTTTCAATATTATTTCGAAACCAAGCGCAAAACCACCAAGTGAAAGGCGGCGGACAATTCAAACCCCAACAAATATGGTTTGAAAAAGTTAAAAATGACGATTCAAAACTCATTGTTTATAAATAATTTATTTTGCAATGCCAAAATTCTTTTTTCAAGAACAAAGTATTAAGAATCAGAAAAGGCAACTAATGTTTTAAATCTAAAAATAATTTTTACTTATGTACGAAAATCACTTGAGTACAAATTATGGGCCGTTGTGATATCACATATGAGACATAGTCCGTTTAGAAATAGTCCGAATTGAAGCATCAGCTGAAAGTTAAAAGTCTCAAGCATCAAGCACATGAACAACGTCTCATTGAGAAAACGACATTTTCGCATGCAAGTCAATGGATGCTAATCTAATAAGTCTTAATAATTGACTATATTCCTATATTTTGAAAGACGTCAGTTCTTCCAGATCAGTAACAAAATAAGTCCCAAAGAAAAACAGTTAGACGTTAGTTCCACACAACACCAAAACCAACTTCTTTATAAATTTATTATTTATTATACAAATTTTGTCGACAATATATACTTTTTAGTGTTAAATGTTTACGCTTGTAATAGACAGTAGTGGCCCTCATATAGGTACATAGACATACAATTATAATAGAGATACAATTTAGATTGTCAAATTACCTGTTCTTGTGTCTTTAAAACTACATAATTCTGGTTTCTCTATTGCTTTATTTGCGATTTCAACCACAACTTTCAATGGCGTACCATCTTCTCTACACATACATGGTACATCGACGTTTAATAACTCTGGTAGCTTCTGTTTCCTGTAAACAAAAAATTTTGTTGCCTTAGTCGAAATTGTGGATAAATAGCGACTTAATCAATTAATAAAATATCATAAAATATACAATTATTTAACCTACCATTAGATATATTCTTATACTTATATTATTTGTTCAATACTTAAATACTTACGTGTTATAAATGTTCAAGTCCAGTATTGGCAATTCATCCATGGAAGTGGCATTCGGTAGCGGCCTCACCTGTAATTGAAATTTGTGTATGCCGAATTCATTTGGTTTAGTTTTAGAAAATGGTAGTTTATTATTCATTTCTTCGTCGCCTTGCCACAGTTCAAGACATAATGCGGGCACTTCGAATTTTCTTCCTAGATCTTTTTTAACACCCAGAACAGTCATAAAACCGGGATATGCGTGAAAGAATCTTTTTTTATCCGGCAAGCGGAATTGTGCATTTACACGTGGCCTGGGCATTTTTTCTTATTATTAAAAAAAAATAAGAAATGATTAAAAAAGGTTTTTGTAAGAAATTAATTGCTTAAATCGTTTTCACATTAATTTTAAAAATTTATGTAGAAGTTTTTACATAAAATATCAAATTTTAAATCTTTTATAAATTGATAGCAAAATGATTAAAATATCAAACATTTTCAAAGCATGCTTGGTTTCTTAAAGAATTGTTGTTGCTTTACTGCCATCATCGAGACAGCTTACTTATTTAAGAACACTTCGAGAAAAGCTGCGAGTCCGTTACGGCCATAAGTATAATTCTATAAAAGATTTAAGGGTTATAGCTCAATCAACTTGAGGTAAATGTGTGGAAGATTGAATCAAGTAATTGTTTTATACTCGTTGGGACCTAAGTTAATGGAAGCAATAGATTAAATTTTGATTCAGAATTTTGTTAGTAGTTCCGGATATTTTTTACACAGAATATATAGTATCTGATTAATTCTGTTCAGGAAACATGATAAGTAATTATAAATATTTTATTCATTATCTCCTTAATCGTAAGTCTATAGAATTAAACAGTAGGCAATTAGCCACTTTAATTACATATTCACGGAATTCCAACATACATTTATGCATCTGATGACATAGATCTGATGACATATTTATTGATGTATCAAAGGTGCGTCAATAATTTGCCCTAAGATATTATTTTTAATTTTTTAAACTTTGTTAACATTTGCGATACTTGATGAGCCTCGAATATCTCTCCAACCTCAAAAAAGGAACGCACTTTATTCAAATAGTTTGAATGGAAAACTTCCCATAATAAGAGCAATAAAACTTTAAAACAAAATTATTTACAAGATTTTTGAATGCCAATTCAAAACAAGGTTTAGAGGCCTAGTTAAAAAAACAGATGAAACTTTCTTCAAAATTTTTGATCCTTTAAAAGAACATCAATTTTGATGTTAGAAGAAAAAAACTTCAGCTAGATGAGTGTTTTTATCACAGACAGTGGTAGGGTCTACTTTGAAAGTAATGTCTTAAAAAAATAAAACAAAAGAAGTGTTCTGGAAAAAGAGATGATTGAAGAGCGACTGACGTTCTTCGTTTGTGCATGTGCAAGTTGAACAAAAAAAATAAAACCAATTTCAATAGGATTCCTACTTACATATATTAGGAATAACAGGGATCATATCTTATTTGAAAAAAAAACCCACATCATTCATGATAATGAATCAAATGAACTACTCGGAACTGTGGACTCGAAATAGAGCAACGTCAATATAAAAGTAAAGTATACTGAAGCTGACGCTCTTAGTACGAGCGTCAATTAATTTGACTAAAAAGTTATAGATTTGAGGAATAAAGAGTACTACTAATCGTGATTTTTATCATCATCGTAAATTCCTTTAACTCATTACGGACCTTATGGACTCAATATTTGTTAAACATGAACTTGATGTACCCGAAAACTACGCGCCAGTCGACAATATGGATTTTCGTATTATTCGCATTACGAATATTTTAATCTTAAACGTTTAGCTGCATGGCTATTTGAGATATATTTTTGTATCTAAAATCACTTACGATAATTAATTACAGGCACGAAACAGGTTTTAAGCAGGGCTTACTGCCAGTGTGACATCTAAGCTTATTGCTGATCAGTTCCTTGGAAGTTTCTGAGCGACACTGTATTATATGTGCTACTTGGCCATACCGATTCATTGCAAGAATTTAAACATATCCACGAGATCTGAGCAACTATACTTCACTAGGAATGTAGGAATGTATATTCTTATGGAAGAGGCAATAAAACTCTGTAAAGTAGGTTCTATACTACTTTTTATTGACGCAACAGAGCTTAAAGACCTACTCTAAGCTCAGAAGGGGCCCAATAGACACGACGGTCGCAGTGCTACATCCCCTAACAATAATAGTAATAATACTTCACTAAATTTCAAGTTGTGACTTGATGCGGTTTCTGTCGTGTGATACGAAGAGCTAAAAAGGTTTAGAATTATTTTTTAAGAGAGAACCAGGATCTTATCGTGACTATGTACTGTTATGCATAGTTCAATTTTTCCAACAACAACAACTGTTTCCATCATACATTATACACTGCTTGCAGTTTTTTTCGTTAGTATAATTAATATAATAAAATTTACATCTCTAATGTGGATGTTTCAAGAGCCAAGCTACTCTCATAGATGTAATGGCATGAGAATATTATAATTCACCAAAAATTTTTAGTCCAATTGCGATCAGAGAAATCGGAATCATTCCAACAAATTTTATTCAGTTTAATAATCTTTTAATAGAGAATTTAAAATAACATGTTACCTAAACATAATGTCGTTGTATTGAACCAACACTATATATTCATGTAAGCCGATTAAGCAGTCATCTAGAAGTCGATCAAGCAGTCAAGTATTAACAGTAATAGTAAGCAGTCGATAGTAGGCAGTCCATAGTAAGTCGTTAGTAGTTGCACTTAGTATTCAGCAGTCGGCAGTCAAGGAGTTTGGTCGTGTATATTTAATCATATACTTTATATTATTCAATTATTAACCTTAATAAAGTATTATAAATTTTTTATAGTCATTTGAGCTTATCTTTTACATTCATATAAAATACATATATATCGTCCTAGGGATTTGAATCATAATTTCGAGTAGTTTCTATACCGAATTTAGAGTATTGTTGACTCTAAACAAAAAATTAAGAATTAGGTCATATGTTAATGTTCGCTCGCACCTATTATTTAGTAAGCAGTTTGTGCAAATTAAATAGGTAATAAATTAATTTAAGTTATTATTGTATATCTTGCATTATAAAAGACAAACAAATTTCAAATAAAATCAGTATTTGACTTTCAATCAATGCCTCATCAATTATATATTCTTTCCTCCCATCACAGGTGAGGAACATTATATATTGTTAAACTGTACATCATTGTTCAGTTTAACAAAGAAAGAAGAAGAAGAAGATATATTATCTATATTTAGAGTCCAAGATGTCCAAATGAATATCGTTCCATTTTATTACTGCCTTATAACACAAGCCTAGTCACCATTTTTGTGCATCATCTACTTTGTTAGTATAATTGATTTCAAATACTTTGATAGTAGTCCTTTTGTCATATTAAATTATATCTTCATCAATTTGAAATATTGCACGAAACTTAGGTCTTTTTCTTATATAAATCGTTCATATATGAATAGAAACATTCCAGACATTCCCAATTTTCACCCCAGAAGCTTAAATTATTGAACCATCGTAATTTTATTCTATTCTATCAGAGGCAAAAGAAGAAACAAAGGAGAACTGTAGTAGTAGTTCGATTTAATCCTATCTGATACAGAAGAAGCTAAAATTATTAAACTATAGTAGCATAATTCCATCATATTTGAGGCTAAAGAAACTAAAAATTTTAAGCAGCAAGAGTTTAAGAGCTACAATGAACGAACTATAATTGCTCAAATCTGTTCTATCTGAGACTAAAGAGACTTAAATTATTGAACCGTAGTTGATCAATTGTATGCTATCTGCGGATAAACAGATTACAAATTCTGAACCGTAGTTATAATAATTCTATGATATCTGAGACTAAAGAGACTAAAATTATTAAACTGTAGTAATTCGATTTTATACCATCTGAGGTTGAAAAGACAAAAATTATGGAACCTAATAGTTCAGTTCTTTACTATTCTCGAGGCAAAAGAAGTTGACATTATTAAAGTCTAAGGTTAATTCTACACTATCCGAGGCCAAAGAAGATATAATTATTAAATAGTCTTAGTTCAATTATGCACCATCCGAAGAAGTTAACATTATTGAACCGTAGTATGTTAGTTCATTTCTATTTGTAGTAGAAATGTATTTCTTGTTTAATATAAGATAATTTACTTAATAAGAGAAAAATGTATTAAAAAAAAGAAAATATTCTGATGCTGTTTATAGTTCCTCTGACGTCTGTGTTATCGTTATTATGATGCCATTACCACCACAATTTACCTTCTGTACAACAGTTAAAAAGGCTAAAAATATATTTCAAATGTAGCATTCAAATATTTTTATTAAAGTGGAATGATCGTAAAAAACATGTTCACTCAAACGGAAATTCACAAGTTTGTAAGAGAACTTAACAAACTTACACAAAAGCAAACACGGAGCAAGGACATGTTGGGATATGTGAGCCATGAAGCATTTTTCAAAGGAACACAAACAGAAGAAAATGACATATGCAAAATTGTAAATAAAACAAAATCAAATTTACCAAAATGCACGAATTGAAATACAAAAACGTTGTACTTGAATATTTGGATGCTTGGAATTACTTGTATCTTACTGCAGCAAATGTATATGAAATATAAAATACACAAAATGCTAAAATTCTGGAAAACATTATGAATTTTGAGCAATCTTCATTGCTTCTGATTCTGATTCGGATTCGGATTCAGACTCTGCTCCTGTTTTGCTATTGCTTCTGCTGGTGTTCATCTGCTTGTATTTCTATTGCTTCTTTTGCTAATAGTTGTATTATTTTTTGTAGCTGAGCTCCAAGATAATGTAATATAAAAATATCCTAAAGCTATGATTTATGGCAGCCGCAACAGCAGCACTAGCATCAGCACTAGCACCAGCACCAGCACTAGCACCACTAGTGGAATCTGCTGCTCTAAGATGTTACATCATGTCCAACAACGGAGTGCACAGACACTCTACATTCATAATAAAATCCTTTGCATACTTCTCGTTGTAAGTGCTTTACTACAGCATGTACGAATGTAAAGAACAAGTGCTTTATGGCCAAAATAAAAAAGCTAAATTTATACAACAGCGAACTAAACAAATACCTATGGAAATTGCATTGACTGGACATTAGGGAATGTAAGTTGCACCAAACCTTACTTTACTCCCGAGCCTAACATAGAATGTCTTATGTATTTTTTCATATCAGCGCTAGGATGCATGAGTTTTGGAGGATTGATTGAGTGTGTGGTGATGCACAATTTTAATGAATCTACTTATCTAACACCACTTTGTAATCTCTGGTCATTTTCTAAAATTATTAATTTTGAAAATATATATAAATAATTGTATTAAAGAGTTGATTTGTAGAAAACTCAGCAATTGAACTACTTAGCAATAGTTGGGTTCTTCATCTGTTTGGAAATTTTTTAATCTGTTTGGAATTGTAAGTGCATACACATATCTTTAAATAGCTGATAAATGTGCAATTGAGAAAAAATAAATAATTAAGCACCGTTCTGTGCAATGAAATGAAAAAATAACCAATGTAAATTTAACGATGAATTTATGGAGATTTTGTGCTGAATGTGGTGCTTTTCCAGATGATATATCATATAAGAATGGCTAGTATAAGTTCGCAAAAGCCAGTTCTAATCAGTGAACAGTATTTAACTACAAAATCATATAGTATTCTAGTAAAGCTATATAACGACACGGTTTTGTTGTCTTTGTGCTTTACTGGAATAACCTCAACCTTGCCAGAATGGTCACGATAAATTTCAAAAGGATTTTTCGTTCAGTTTTGTCTTGATAGACGATTTAATCGAAATTTAAAACTGCCTGAATTGATACGGTATTAAAGAAAAGGTTGAATAAAAATTCGAATTCGTGAAATCTTGAGACGAGAGCTCTGACATGTTCGTGGCATGTCATTTTAATTTATGTTAACATAAGTAAATAAGAGAATAACTATTTATTTGATAATTATAATTATTAAAATTTTTTTTTTTTGTAATAAGCTATTGCATTTAAAAACGAAAAAGTTGGTGTGGTATATAATTTATTTAACGCTTTTCAGAATACTTACAAGGATGTTAGATAGTCTACGATATGCTGTGGATCTCTGCTTCACATGGTTAGATAACCTCTTCAATTGGAACGTTACAAGTGTTTGGATTGAGGCGACACCACGCTTAATACTAAGATCACCATTTAGATCAGTATAACGAAGATACCAAAGCTCGTTTATGACATATTTCAGAATATTGTTATGCCATGTTGGATGCAATAAGCACTTGGTTGAACACCTGCTTGTAGAAGTGTATATGTAGATAAGGCAGCTTGCAAAACCATGGACGAATAAATACTTCTTCCTGACGTACAGATTCAGTTGAGCAAAGTATCCACAATCCCAACAAAGTATTCATTGGCATCATAGTTTGGGCTTTGTGTTATTTATGTTTAATGGCAGACATTGTAATCTATTGTATGTGAAGTTAATATATATTGTTTTTTTTTTTAATTTTATACGCCACTTACTTGTCCATTCAAAGATTAAGGAGATAATCTCAAAGTCAAAATTTGCTGATTTATTTTCCAACTACTTAACCGTCTACAAAAGTTATGGAAACGCAGTGATTTTCTATGAGTATATTATGTGCAAGTGGTATATAAGAAAGAGACATAAGCTCACATTTATATCATATGTATATTTAAGTAAATGATTTTATTCCCTAAGTTACTGATAAGCTTAACATTGGTTGGCATATAACCTTACAACAACAACAACGAAATGAAACGATATAATAAAAGAAGAGCAAAAACAATTATTTACAGCACTGCCAGATGCAAAAAACAGATATGGTAATAAAATACTTTATACAAGCCAATAACAAAATGTTTATTCATTCTCTTTGTATTAATTCTATATTTTGTTGCTAAACAAAGCAACACATTAAAAATCAGTTTAAACCGTTAGTTTCACATTTATTTGTAAGCAATAATGCACTTTAAGACAACAAAAAATGATTAGAACATACAAATTCCATATATAATTATGTATTCTAACATATTTTATATAATTAAAATAAACTAAATACACAAGTTTCTCACACAAAGCTTTATAAAATAACTACTTATCACAATTTGTATAGAAAATTCAAGAAATTATGCGTATTTATTTCTATTTTCCTTCACACCAAATTCGGTGTCAAACTCGCTGGACGGAATTACGTTAATTATTTAAACACTTCTTACTTTAAATACTTATAAGTTAACTATAAAAATTACGGTGTTTATTTATATATAGGAAATAATTCCTATATAATAAAATAATTAAACCTCCATATTTCATTATGTTATGTACAAAGCTTTAATTGTAATGCAGGCAACCAAATAAACAAAAAAGCACCGAAGATATGTTCAAAGCAAAATATAAAATAATAACAAATTTGACACTGCCACCTCTAAGAATTAATAAAATATAATTGAACAAATTAAATAGAAAAAATTAAACAACTTATTTAAATAGCATAAATAATATGTAAAAATAAATAAAATGTGATTTTTATGTTTGGCAAATCTTTTCTCTGTATTTTTCTCTTCAAACATATTAAAAATATTTTTGTTGTAATATATCAATTATCTGAAAAATTTTTGATTGTCGATTTTGCATACAATTTTCATTTCCTTCTTCTTATGTTGTGTCATATGACTGAAAATTTTATCTGAGTTGCAATTTATCCGATCACACTTTTTAACAAAAACACAGTCTGACATTTTATTCTGCAAAACAAAGAAAGCAATAACATGAAATTATTAAAAAACATATTTAAAATTAAAAAAGATTGGTTCTACCTTGTTGTTGAAGAAACTAACAAAAACCTGATTTCATTAAACAAAGATATAACTCTTAATGTTCACTAAAAGCATTTACTAAATTTTTTTTCCACTCCATACTTTGCCTAGTCTCTTTAGTTTATATACGTACACTATAAATTAGTTCTATGGAATATAAAATGTGTACCAGAAATAAAAACAATTTCATTGTATAAATATTAATAAAACCAAAACCAAAATTTAAAGTGATATTGCAAAGGAATAATACGTAAATAAAACGCACTTTAGTTTACTTCCATATCAGATATATACCGATTTAATCTTAGAAGAGGTCTTTTGCTCCATAAGTGGGCATGTACTTTTAGCGATAATTAAAACTTTTTTGTAGTTTTCAAAAAATAAAATACTTTTTGACAATATTTTATATATTATATATATTATATTATATTTAAGTACAGTTTTAATGACTACTACCTCGTAAGGCATTAATCAATGCGTTAAATAATTAATGGTGTAATATAAAAATATTAATATAATGGTTAGAACAAAAATATATTAAAATTGTTTTAATTTGTTCAGAAGAGTGAAATGCAGTGAAACATTTGTGTTTCGTAAATTAAATATAAACAATAAATGCTTCTAAAAAATACACTTCAATATATGATCACATATTATATTAAATTTTATAAAAGAATTTGTGATCGATTTGTTCAACTTAATTAATTTTGTAATTAATTCAGAAAATAATTTTTAAAGTTGGCAATATCAAACTTTAGTATAATTTCCAATTTTGCTTTAAAAATATTCTTAGTGCTTTTTTATTTTTCTAGTGGTTTTTTGGTTGTGCGTGTTAATCAAGTAACAGCATCATTATATTAAAATTTAGCTGGTACTGAATAATTTTCTACACTATTGAACACAATAATTTTCGTAGTTAAATTATAGGTATTAAATAAAAAAGTGTTTAAATTATAAATTAAATTCCTTCCAGGGTCTTTGTCACGGAATTCAGTGTGAAGGAAAATAAAAATAAAAGTTAATACTGCTTTGAATTTTTTTCTATATAAAATGTGTTGTGTGGTTATTTTATGAAGCTTTGTATAAAAAATTTTGTGTATTTAATTTTATTAAATAAGTGTCTTCAAATATAATTATGTATGCATTCTTTTGTTTTTGTCATTATGAACATGAAACTAACGGTTTAAACTGGTTTCTTATGTTTTGCTCTGTTTAGCAACAGAATAGTGGGATATTGCAAAGAGAAAAATAAACATTTTGTTATTGGTTTGCATAAAGTGGTTTATTGCCAAATCTGTTTTTTGCATCTGGCAGTGCCGTAATATAATTGCTCTTGCACTTCTTTTGTTGTGTCTTTTTTGTTGTTGAATCAAAGTCCAATCAACTAGTAGGTCGCCGTTAATAATGTGATTTGTTGTCTGTGTATAATAAAAAATTAGAACGCAATTCTATATAAATTAACAATTTTACTTATCGCTTTAACTATATAACAAACGAAAAGTACATATAACATATATTTTTTTAAGGGATTAAGTGTTTTATATAAATCAAATCCCAGAATTCTGTGCAGAAAACTTAAGCTTCATTCAGACAGTTTCTTATTGGAATTTTGTAAGAGGTAAAAGCGATAAAATTAATTTATTAAATGTTTTGATCAAAGATCAGTGTTATGTATTAGATCAGAGAGGTGAGAAGAATAAAATTATAAAAAAACTTTTTTATTAAAGATATAGTTACAATATACCTAAGCTATTTAAAAAAGTAATATATTACAAAAAAAAAAGGAATTAGAAAAAACATTTTAAAAAAATTGATATAAAAATAATTATATATTAAAAAAGAAACATTAAAAAAAATTATGTATTAAAAAAATAATATATTAAAGAAAATATTTTAAGAAAAATATATTAAAAAAACCGATATACATATTAATATATAATATGATATAATATGTTAAGAATTGTATATTAAAAAAAAAGCTTAAGTCACATGTACCGTTGTTTTCCATTGAAGGTTTACTGTTTTTTATACGGCATGCTTTTTTTTTGTTGTTTTTTTTCTTTTCTTTTTTTTTTTTTTGTATGGTGCAGTTTCTAAATCCTTCCCGCGAAAATATGATTTATACAGTGTACCAAAAAAGTTTAAGCACAGCGCCATTTACTAATTCGGAGTAATTTGTTATCTACAAAAATACAGTTAAAAAATACTGATGTTTTGAAGACGAAATATTTTATTTCATATTAAATATTTGAATATAATTTTTGTTTTCGCTGAGAAACTTAAAAACACCATAAAAATAGTATGCTTTTTATAATAAACAATTTATGTAGTTTAAAGACTAAAAAACTTACTAATTATAATTAAATGTCAATATTTGTTGGTTCTGATCTTTTCGGTTCGAATAAGCGGGTTATGTACTTTTTATTAACTTAGATGTCGTTCGGGGTAGCATATTAACCCATTTCATTTAAATGACATCTTTTATGGAAGTTATGAAATGGATCTGTAGTTTGATTTCATCAGATGCTAAATATATTCCACCGGTTTTATATCAGAGAATTGTAGTATTTGTTTTATCTACTTACACTGAAAGATGAGCCAGTTGTGGTTGAAGGAACTAAGAATGTGATAGAACATAAAGTTACTCAATTTACCTTTTCGACTCTGGGGATTAAACATTATCGAAATATTCATATATGGATTTTTGTCTATTTTCATAATAATAAAGACAAAAGGATTTTGAATGCAGATTTATATTTCTAAACTATAACATGATTTGATGCTAACGTCAAACGGTCATTTTCAGTCTACTTTTTCAGATATATATATATATATATATATATATATATATATATATATTATATATATATAATATATATATATTAGTTATAGTCATTTGCTAAGTGTCAAGTTTATATATCAATCAAGATATATAATAGGCCAACCACATACACGTAGAGAAATTTTGAATCTTCAATGATGTTAGACCTGACGTCTATTAAGTATTTTGTTGAGATGGTTTGTAAGGCTCGTTTGCTAAGAATCGTAGAATACGAGCAATAAAATCGCAAAGTATTAGTCTTTTATTTCGAATTCAAATATTTAATTTTATTTAATACTATATAATTTAAAAAACGCGCTATAAGATGTAAGAACTGTACTGAGTTATCATGTGAGATTTGAGTGCTCCGTGATTTCAAAAGGAAATTGTTATACAAGATGTTTTTTCTAAAAATCGGCACTACCCCATATACTTTTCTTACCTATATCCATGTTATAAATTTATAAACCATTATAAATTATATGTTATAAATTTTTATATGCTATAAATTATAATATATTGTGGAATATTATACATGATAAATTATAATTTTTTGTAAATTATTATGTATTGTTAATTATTATATATTATAAGCTATTATGTATTCTAAATTGATATCTGTTATAAATTGTTATATATTATATATTATAAAATATAAAATATAAAATAAAATAAATATAAAATATATATTATAAAATATGTTATATATTATAAATATTATATGTTTGTATTATAAATTGTTATATATTATGTATTATAAATTATTATATATTATGTTTATATTTTATTTATATAAAATAATTGAATATATACAAATACTATATTTGCTATATTTTTACTAAAATAAATCTATTTTTTTATAAATAAATATAATTAAATAAACTTATTTTCTATATACAGATAACAATGGCAAAGAGAATTAAGGACAACAGTTATAACTGGAACGAGGGGTTAGATAACTTTAATGATTCCTCAGTTTTAAATCAATCCTTTAGTATGAAATGGAATAATTGTGCAAACAACAATAATGGTGAATCACTTCTAAATAAATCTGTTAGTATGACCTGGAACGATGATACAGATAATATACCATCCACAAGTAAAAACAAGCCCAATGAAGTAAATGAAACAAATCATAAATCAATTCTAGCTAAATACTTTTATAACGACTCGAATGATGGAGCAGATGGAATAAGTACATCAAACCTAAATATGCGCTTTGGCTCAAAATCAAACTTTTCAGAAAAGGAGCTAAATATGATGATGGAAGCTGAAAAAAGTGTAGATGAAGATCTGAAAATGTTAGAACAAAAGTTGTCTAACATGACAACTCAAGAAAATGAAGAGTCTGAAGCAAGAGGTGAAGAGACGTCAAATATATTCAATAACCAAGGTTTAAGTACTGGCTCTGTCATGAACGTCAAGTATTTAAATAATCTCGCGAAAGGGCATAAAAGATATGATATATTTGAATCTTTTGATGATATTGTTCCCAATGAGGAATATAAAGGAAGAACATCTAAAACGTTTTACTCTAAAACAAAAAAACGAATGCCTGGTTTTTCCTTCAATAAGAATAACTAAAATTTCATGTATCAATGGTAAAGATAAACATGATTTTTTTTTACGAAGATAATTTGACAAATGTGAAGCAATCTAATCTGACCGTAACTGCTGTATTTATTTTTAGAAAATAGTTTGATATAAAAAAGTATGAGATATAATCACATTCAAGAGATATATTATAGCAATTTTGTATTAGTAAAAAGTTTAATATAAAAAATTATGAGATAAGCATATTTAAGAGATAAGCAATTTTGTATTAGTAAATATTTTTATATAAAAAAGTATCAGATAAGCATATTTAAGAGTTATATTATAACATATCTTATAGAACATATCTTATAGATATGTTATAGAACTATATAATAGCAAATAGTATTAACGGATTTTAAAATTATATTTACACAGATGATTAACAATTTCTTCTTAGTAACTTCAAACGCATTAGGAAATGCCCAGCTTTTAACCACAGCTGCACAATGTAATCATCTTACTTTTGTATATATATATATATATATATATATATATATATATATATATATATATATATATAAAATTTATTTTTATATATATATACATATATATATTTAATATTATATCCTTTTGCACAGACATTAAAATATATATATTTATTAATGTATTAATTAATATTACTATACGGAAAGTGATTGCTTTGCTTTTTCATCAAAAATAAAAAATAGATTTAAATAAAAACGAATCTTGATGTTTTCGGTACTAATTTAAAAAAAAATTGATTTAACAAGTCATTCCTTTTGAAGATATTCGTTATTCTAAAAAAGTTCAATTATTTGAACTATAATTCGCATGTCATAGAAACTTGAGAAATGTCCACACTCCATTAAAAGAGTGCATAATTCTCTTTAGTGATATATTGAATTTAATGCAGAGCATTAAGGTGAGACAATTTAAGATAGATAGCTTTCAGTGGAGCAGAGTCTGTTCTATCCAAGTAACGCATAGGTACCATAGATAGGAGTCAGAATTTTCAATAACCTTTACTTTTTTCTCGTTTTCAATAAGGAACCCATCTATGCTGTTAATAGGTGATAGCATTTCTGTGTGATTTATATATCGGATGTTCACCAGGCTTACATTTCACTCTTAACATCGGTTAAGCGATTGAACTTAACTTAAGAAATATCTTAACTCCAGAAGGTTTAAGAGTGAACACAGTATAAAAGCTTACCAATGTGCTTTCTGAGTTATTTAAGTCATTTTCATTTGAATTTAAATAGTTTTCAAGAGATAGGTAAATGATTCATTGTCCATCTCTCAATATATAAAGAAGTTTCTCAGTTTCTTAGCTAATTGAATGAAGCTTCACACAGAAACTTTGTGAGCCATGTAGATTAAGTCGAGCAAAGAATGAAATTGGTAGACTATGTCAAGTAGCGCCTATAAAAAATAATGCACAAAAAGGGAGACTTTATTAATAAATGTAAGCTCTTCGGAATTTATGCCAACAAAAGCGGTGTATGAAATAGCAGATAGATTGGTTACATAGCTACACCTGCGAGTGGTATTGAAGCTTCCAGTTTAAGTTGAATGAACAAATTTATATAATTAAAAATTACAGCATTGCTGGAGTTGCTGCTTCTGTTTCTGTTAGTTTCCTTTTATTTATTAACATTACGACTTCTCATGTGTGGAAGCAAAGAAGAGCTCACCATCCATTTTCAAAAGGACTGACTTCCATACCGACCGCCGCACCTCTCCATGTATGTAAAATACGAACATAGCGAAAAACTTTATCCCACAATGTGTGTGGAGCCGTTTTCCAGTTAAGCACATTACGTTTATGGTAACTGCAAAGCAGCGAAGAGGCTCAGTGAAAACCAAGTTAAGAAGCCCCGTGCCCGTGCCGTGTGAATGTAGATTGTTTTTGTTCTGGCTTCGCCTTTGCCTTTGTATTTCGAGCTTTGTTAACTGCTTTAAGAAATGCAACAGTGTGTGGTGAAACTGCGTTAATGTGTTTTTGCATGCCTCCAAGTGCGCGTATTAAATGAATTTCCTTGCACTTTTAATTGTTTTTAATTACTGTGTTGAATTTCGTTTGAACTTAGGTTGATCTCACTTTTGCAGGAATTTCAGTTTTAAAAATAACACTTTTTTTTATCAATTTAATTAATTAATATTTTTATGCAAATGAATCGATGTTTTTATGAAAAGCTAGTGTACACTAACTTCGGAGGTTAGTAGTAAACTATGTCCAGCCATTACTTGATTCACAACTACAATTTTTAAGGCTGGATCAGACTCGCTGCTACTTCTGCTACTACTTCTGGAGAGACTTTCAGATAATTTCATTAATTAAAAAGTTTTTATCAGTCTTAATAAGGAATACACATACCATATCTACAATTATAGTCCGTCACTTCCTCAAGCCTGGTTGGACTTAAAATGTTAATTTTTTTGTTAATTTGTTTTATATTTACAATATTTCAAATAAAAAATGGTAAAATCATTCCGAGACTCAACCTCAACCAAACGAAGCACAAGCAACCATAGCTATAAATAATAAGATCGATTGTGAATAATGACGGTCGTTTTAAAAGAACATTGCAATCACACAATTGGAAAAGGTTGTCCAGATTAATCTTTACCAATTGAAGATTGGTGCTGATAGTATAACGGTTATAAGAAGACATTAAGCTTCCCGTCTTTAGAGAGTAGGAACTGCGGCTATAAAATGGTTCAATACCAATATATGTGGTCTGTATTATAAACCAGGTAATAGTAAAACTAAATTATCTATTTTAACTAATGACAATATTATTTTCTTTGTGCTTTCTTAGGTCATGATCTCAGTTGTAAGATGTGAAAATATAGTAATAGCTATATATGGTTCCATTTTAAATAGTGAAATGATCTTCATAGTGTAACTTAATAACCGGCGTTTGTTAGCAAATAGCTCCATATTACCTAATTGACATATATCAGATATTTATAATACATATATCTTATACCAAAAACAAGAAATAATAATTGCAGATTGTTTAGATATATCCCGAGCAGATATTTTTAATTACGTAAAATCATTGATATTTATTCAAAAACAAGGAAATTGCGTCCCATACTATGTAAAGTTGAAGGATATTGAAATGCACATCTTAAATTTTTGCATCGAATTGTTACTGGTAATGTGAAATAATCCAACCCAAACCACCAAATTGCCGCTAAGGTTGAATATTCATAGTTGTAAGGCTTTTGTTAGAATCAGAATGATATCATACATTATGATCTGTTAAAATTTATTTAAACTATTATTGTAAGGAAACATAGTAACATAAAAATAACATTTTTTTCGTCAATGTACAACAATGTAATATTACTAAAGTGGAACAGATACATAGAACAGTGAAATCTACAGTTCTGCATGCGCACATACTCCCCATCGGTTCCTTTGTCATTATCCACATTATGCTGATAAAACTACATATAAAAAGCAGAAATCCATTTATTGCACTCGGACTTCAATAAAGCAGACTTAGGAAAGCCAGACGAAAAGGAGGCGACGACTAACGATATATCAAACCTAGTAAAAAGTGCTGCTGAGAGACAAAACGGAAATAGGATTTAAAATATTCGAACGAGACTCTGACATCCAAGTGGTTGGTTAAAAGATAAAATAAGGAATAGGATTTGTTTACTTTCATTCAAACAGAAACTTTTGCTAACAAGAAAAATGGACACTTTATTTCAGAATTGAACTTAAAAAAAAATATTAGTGCAATCATGATCTTTTCGAGAAGTAGAGTCTTAATACTAGCTTTTTCCAGCCAGAATATAAATTAGAATGTAGACAAGCTGGGTAAAACTTTAAGAATTTCAAGGAAATTAACTTGCGGATGAAGGCTAATCTTAGGTAGAGGATTGAGTGCAGAGTTCATGAAAGAATACTCAGTGTCTTTAAAATGAGTTTCTGAGACTACCAGAATACACAATATAATTGGAAAATGGCTCTGAATTTTACGATAATCTATCGAGAACGTGATTTTTCCTGGGTAAGATTTCTTGAGATTTTTGATAGATCACTAGAGGTATTAATTTTTCGAAATTGGCCACTCTCTTAAGCTCAATTGCAAAACCTACAATCGGCCAGGTTTCTCTAGTCTAAAGTATTTTACTAAAGCTACTCTTACGCTTGGTGGACGTCCTTAATAAAGATCTTAGGTTAAAAATATGTTATATTCCTCTTAAATATTAGCTCTGAAAAAGTGTTGTGAATGTTCTCTGCAAGTCAATTATAACAAAACAATGCTTCTTGGCAGAAGATGATACTCTGTGTCCATCACAATTAACCAACATTTTAGCTTTATACTGCAAATTATGTTTATTTAAGTTAAAAAATTATTTAAATAAAAATATATTCGTTGGTTTATAGTTTGTTTTAAGTTGTTTTCTTTAACGCACGGCTTATTGTTCTGGACTACTTTGCGCATTTGCTGGTGTTTCACGCTGGGGTTAATCCATTGTATAAGGGAGATCCTGTTTGCTGCTGTTTCGTGCTGGAGTTAATTTATTATTTAAGAGAGATCCTGTTTGCTGGTGTTTCACGCTGGGTTTAATCCATTGTTTTAGGAAGATCATGTTTGCTGGTGTTTCACGCTGGGGTTAATCTATTTATAACGAATATACTGTTTGCTGGTGTTTCACGCTGGGATTAATCCATTGTATAAGGGAGATCCTGTTTGCTGCTGTTTCGTGCTGGAGTTAATTTATAATTTAAGAGAGATCCTGTTTGCTGGTGTTTCACGCTGGGTTTAATCCATTATTTTAGGGAGATCATGTTTGCTGGTATTTCACGCTGGGGTTAATCCATTTATAATGAATATTCTGTTTGCTGGTGTTTCACGCTGGGGTTAATCCATTGTATAAGGAAGATCCTGTTTGCTGGTGTTTCACGCTGGGGTTAATCCATTGTATAAGGGAGATCATGTTTGCTGGTGTTTCACGCTGGGGTTAATCCATTGTATAAGGAAGATCCTGTTTGCTGGTGTTTCATGATGGAGTTGTTTGCTGGTGTTTCATGCTGGGGTTAATCCATTGCTTTAGGGAGATCATGTTTACTGGTGTTTTACGCTGGGGTTCATCCATTTATAATAGAGATCCTGTTTGCTGGTGTTTCGTGCTGGAGTAAATTTATTATTTAAGAGAGATCCTGTTTGCTGGTGTTTCACGCTGGGTTTAATTGTTTTAGGGAGATCATGTTTGCTGGTGTTTCGTGCTGGAGTAAATTTATTATTTAAGAGAGATCCTGTTTGCTGGTGTTTCACGCTGGGTTTAATTGTTTTAGGGAGATCATGTTTGCTGGTGTTTCGTACTGGAGTTAATCCACTGTTTAAGGGAGATCCTGTTTGCTGTTGTGTCACGCTGGGGTTAATCCATTGTTATAGAGAGATCCTGTTTGCTTGTGTGTCACGCTGGGGTTAATCCATTGTGTAAGGGAGATTCCAGTTTTTTCATTATTATGTTTAGGTTGATCATAGCGATATATGTCAGTTATGAATACGCAATACAGTTCCTCACATATCCAATGTGTATCTATGAATAAGATAAATATAACTTATTAAAATAATATTTAGTACTTACATATAAGTATAAAAGTTGTAAATGCTTTCATTTATTACTTACTTCCAGATTAATTATAAAAACTTCTTTGCTATTGTAGGTTCCGGGATTTTAAATATTTTCTCAAATACGACTTTTTTCGAATTTATTTGAAGTTTATTAGTAATTCACATAAATTCATGCAGGTCTTGAGATTCAAGGAATGAAATTGTACCAAAGTGTTTAAAAACGTTAAAATCTGATCTGATGAAATACCCTTCAATTGTAGGAAGATTGTTTTGAATTGACACAGAAGACATTTATTGTATTTTTATCGATAAAGAAACATAAACCATTTTCTTGCAGTAATAGTTCAACAGATGTTTTTAGTTTAATCCATAGTCCTATAAAAAAATTTATATATTTTAAATCTTGACACTTTTATTGTAAAATTAATTGCCGAAAAATATTCAATTTAAATAAGTACATTGATAAATACTTTTCCCTGAAAATATTAAAGTGAGTTACTAATCCTATGACTAAATCGCTTTAGATTTTATAATAATTTTGGACCTATGATATTTTTAATGTTAGCAGAACTGAATTTAAACATTTGTTGTAAATAAAACTTCACTTCAACAATTTATTATGGGCAGTTTACAGAAAAAAATAGACTTTTCACTACCAAAAGAAGTGAGCCACTACAGAAGATTTCAAACGGCATCGATTGACTTAAATTCAACAAGACCTCGAAATCGATAGTATATCAGAGGAGCTGATTAAATGCAGAATTTTTTATTAGATTGTCTGATATTACATCAAGCACCCCATTAAGGAGATGTCAAAAATCAGATTTAAAGGCGTAATAATATTTATAGTTATAATATGCATGGCAATGAAATGGAGTTGCTATAGACTTTAAAAATTATAGAGTTAAAAAATTAATGAATGTTTCGTATAAAATATGCTCTCCTATTTAGCAAGTACGTATAACTCTATACGTTGAAATATCACTGGCTACTTCCAATATCATCCCATATGTAAAGAAGAGCGCACCCTGAGACGCTACAACCACCAATTGTATGCGGTTCAGCTAGAAGCAAATATAATCACAACAATAAAGCTTGGAAGAGTTGAAAGCATGGGTCAAAGTGAGTTACCTTATTTGATTTTATAAGTGGCAGCTAAGTAGACCATATCGGCTGGCATAAATCGAGACGCTTAAGGTGACGCCAAAATGAATGACTTTAGTTTTTAGTCGAGATCAGTGGAGTAAGTTTTTGAAGGAGACTAAAACTGGACACTAATTGTAGTGTCAATGAAAATGTTGAAATTTGTGAATAAGATAACTACTATATAACAAGAATTTTTATAAAAGTAATGCTCTACTTACAGGTACCATTAGTTTCAATAGACGAATCGTTCTCATTCTGAAATAACAAAAAATATTTTATATTTAATCGATTTATAATTGACTATCACTAATTACCTAGTTATAGTCCACATATATACATGTTTATATTATCGAAATCGTACACCCATATTCACAGTTTTCAAAGTACAGTAAACAATTGTGGTTTTCTAATTCGTTCTCTTTTTTAAGGTCTTTTCAAAGTCCATCGGAAATTCGATCACACGAGTTCGTTTAAACTCTGTTACTATTTATAGTACCTATAGCCTTTAATACTTTCTATAACTTTTACCATTTTGTATGAGTTTTCTTGATCAGACCGAGTTAAAGAGAACTTCTTCTGTGGTGTTAAAAGATTTTTTAAATGCACATTATACTTTGTCTTTGTAATAATATTTTGACAAGAATATTGCAACGCTTAGTCGACAAAGTGCGAGGACAATGCTAAATTGCCGAGTGCAAGTATATCCACACATTTTTAGAATTTTACGCACAATATTAGTTAAAAGTACCATGAGAGCTATGTCGATATACATGTACTTACTTTCAACATATCCCACGAAACCCATGGATGCACAATTAAATATTACAGTCATACTTCTTAAGTAATCAATGGGACTATTTTCGTAGTCTTCTTCGTAAACAATAGCAAAAACAGCGCAGAAAAATACTAACAAGGTATATGTATGTGCATAAGCATATGGACGCAGTATATCCGATTTCAAGTAAAAGTGGATATTTGAGCATGACATTGGTAATAACTGACACATGGCTTCAGAGATCTTAACGATAACAGAGACCTCTTCGTCTTCATCATCATCATTATGGTGAAATGATTTTATTGCACAAATTATGCTATGGATTAACCCCATCGTGACACCAGCAAATGCAAACGGGCTTTCCATCGGTTTCTCCAGATATATATATATGATAAGCGCCACAGCGTAAACAGCGTCTAAAGCTGCCCTGTACATATCCATGCTGAAGCCGCTATTAAGATTTACTTAAATTTATATTGAAAGAAGTTTTTCTCTTTTGATTTAAGAAATTCACGAAATCTATTGATTTCATCAAAACATATTTCTAAATAAATTTTGTTAATCCAAAAAAATAAAAAATTTTTTAAATTTAAATTTTGACTTTCGGTTTAAGCAGTTTTGAAATGAATTGTTTAAGTTTAAAAAAAAAATGAAAAATAATTTGCTTGTAATAATTGAACTTCTCAAAATTATGTATAGCTTGCTTTGTTAAAATTGTGACGGAGTGTGAAAATAGGTATAGTTCCCTAAATCACAAATTAAAAAAATAAATTATATATTGAACGAAATTATATTATACAAAAATTTATCCAGAAATAATAAATTAAAAGATTCAAAAAGAGACTTTCCAAAAGAGTAAAAAACGCTTCCATCAAACAGCCACTCAGACATCAAGCAGAAGGTTCTGAGATCAAGGGTCGAGTTAAGGATTAAGGATTAGCAGTGTCGCTAATCAATAAACTACTACGCATTTCACACGGCGCAAGTTAATCTTCATTAATTGCTCAATCTTTTGAAGTTGCTGCGGTTATATATAACTCATAATGAGCGGCTGCAAAAGGCGTCTGTTCTCCAGATTAAGTGCTGCCTATTTAAAAGTGATCTGTCACTACGTGCAAAGCTTAAAGGACTGATATTGCGCTTGTAACCCATCGTCAGGGCTTTGTTCCCTTTAACTATTTTCTGGAAATAAAACATGAGTCAAAACTCGACGGAATTACAGTCTCTAAGTGGTACGCGTACTTATACGGTGAATCCATCTGCTTCGGCAGCACGCACAACGGATTTAGAGGTGGGAAACTCACGTTTAAACAGAATCTCTTCGTTAGGTACAACTGTAACCACTATGGCCCAATGTTCCCCTGGGAACGTAATGGAATGAAGGAAAAGAATGCACACTTAAGACTACTTCCGTAAGAAACTTTACTTTCATCAGTCTTGCTCGTTTTGTTTTCGTATGCATTCGGATCTTTGTCGGCATCGATGCAAATTTCATTCTGTTTTAAGTCATGGAAGTGAAAACATAGTTTCATTGCCCGTATGATTTTATTCTTTCATGCACTTGGAATATTTTTTGCTAAAGAGTGTTCAAAATAATATCGGCAGAGAATGATGTTAGGTGGTTTTTCAACATTAAATATCATAATTACTTTTAGAAATTTATTTGATAATCGATAAACATTAGAGTTTTTTAGTAACCGGGTTTGGTCGTTATTAAACCAAAAACTGGTATCTTCTTCAACTTCATTTGCAGTATTTTATTCACCATTTCCTCAGATGTGACGGGAGTTGTATTCCTTTCTATTTATATCAAACTATATTTATTGATATTGCATTGGATACCTTATTTCGAATAATCGTTTTTGGTAGGTATTTAGTAAATATATTAACTTATTCTGCGATAGCTCTTATGATTTAATTTAATATCCCTCTTAGCTTCTTCTAACAAATTGCAGACGTGGTTTTTTATCGGCGATTAGACCAATCTAAAAGCTGTTTAATGGATTATTTTCAAATGCCTTAATTTTTACTTGCAGCTTTCTATCAAAATATATTGATTTAATTTGTCATTCGGAAATCTATTCTGATATCTGCGCTTTTTCTTTATCAGGACTTTGATGTAACTGGCATATTGTTTCATATTCTGGACAAGCGATTGGATAGATGTACTTTTTTAAGCTGAAGTTTGGGTGCTTTAGACAAATCATAGTACTCCATTATCAAGATGACCTTTAGTTAATCTATTTTCTCCGACTGTAACTAATTTTTCCAATTTAACTATGAAGTAATCTTTAATAATTTGGTTACAAGACTGGATTTTAGAGACTATTAGTAGTATATAACCATAATCAGTGGGTTTTAGTAATATTTAATAGTTTTTATTATCTTTTTATAATTTTACGCTACAAGTGTCAAATATTGAGCACAGTCCAATATGAAATGGATACTTGCCCTATATGTGACAATTATGATTGTTAGCACATCCACCAAGTGAAAAGAAAGTCCCTCCCTCACTGTTAGAGATTCTATGCGAAAAATCGTTACCATTTTGTTAAGTAAATTTTTATAAAACATTAAAAGGCTATTAAATGATTCACAATGTTTAATGGCAAACCTTGAACTAACCAGATGACGTCCTATGTTATTAAAATCCAAATATTTTTTTTTGAAAAGAATTCAGCTTTTCTACTCATATTTAATTCTCTTTAACCAACCAACTGATGTACACATATGTAATAATTTGTTGATATGAATATATAAGACTGCATCTGCAACAAGCATTAAAGAAATCTAGTCAAGTGTTTTTCTATTATGAGTACATCCAAGTCCATCTTCTTCAATTCAAAAAATATTAACAAAATAAGGAAGGAGACTGTCAATTTTGTTGTCATTACGGAAAGTTTCCCAACCAAAAGAGTTGTTTATAAGGAACTTCGTTATTACTTGTTATTGTAAATGCTTTGGTTACAAGCGTTTTTTTTTTGTATTCCAAGTTTTGTACTTTGACTTTGGCTATGTGACTCGGCAAAAAATCGATGTAAAAAATTTGGTTTAAAAATGCATTTCACTTTGATTTAAAATTTAAAGTGAAAAAATGTATAAAAAAATATTAAACTTAATTTTGACGTCAGTTATGAGGACAGTGACTATTTTATTTAAAAGAAAATATTGTATATAATAGAGAGGTTTCGAATAGTAGTGAATTGCAATAACAAAGTTTTTATATATTTTTAATTTATTGAATTTTTAGCAGACCATAGACGGAACCTGCTCAGCACTACGGTATCTGTGCTGACGGGACACTGCGTAATAGGAAGGCATGAAGCATGCTATGAGACTGGGATTGCCCTTTAATGATTTTTGTCGTCAGTTAATTCAACTAAGGCGGATCTTGCTCAGTACTACGGTATCGGTGCAGACGGGTCATTGCATAATATGGAGGCATGCTATGAAACTATGTCTAACCTATAATAACTTTTATCGTGGTTGTTGCTCTGAGAATGAAGAGGAAACTGTGCTCCATCTAATGTGTAAATGACCATCTTTAGCTAGGAGAATATTTAAATGAACTTGGTCAAGTTTATAGAACTGTCTAGTTGGTTCACCTTAACCTAATGGGGAAGTCGTTGCCTTGTGGCGTTGGTCGTTTTCTGATCTTTTAGTCTATGCATGAACAAACACCAATTTTTGTGGTAACATAACAGGCCATTATTTGAGCTGAAGTGGACTTTCTTTGGCACAAGACCACCACTCCAACTTATCTACCTACCTACCTAATTCCATTGGACATAAATTTCTTGCCATAGAAAACAAAATTGCTTTAAAGTAGTAGTGAGTTCACTTCTTTAAATGTTTCTGCTTTTTAAAAAGACTTGTGAATACAATAAAAACTTGCAAATCAGTTTTTATTTTTGTATAGTTCTCTATATAAATATCGTCCAAGTTTTGAAATTTGTTTGATTTATTCCTCAGGCGAAGTATTACTGCAGATCCAAAATGTTTTTCTCAAAAAACATAAAACTCCTTATTGATCCATTTTCTTATCGCCCTGACTTAATCTAGCATTTAAACGTAGCAATTTTTAGGCCATCTGCAAGTTTGAGTAAATTGATGGTAAATGGAGGGAAAAAGTAAATTATGTCGGTATGGCTCTAAATGTTGGTATTTACCAGAATTTCAAGTAGGGTAAATTAGATAAACATTAGGTAAATTAGGTGTTACTGTTGGGAACATTTTAAAAGATATTTAATAAATAAATAAAGAGGTTTTTTCGAACAGTAGTGAAATACAACAACAAAAATTTATTTTTTATATTATTTTAATTAATTGAATTTTTGGCTGACCATACAGCTGTTTCGAGTATTGTCAAATACTCATCATCAGTGGTCTTGGAAATAATTCGTGTATTTAATTATTTGTAAATAATTATTTTTTGACACTGCAAGTACCAGGAATCGAACTCGGGTCCTGCCAAATAAATAAATAAATTTAAAAACTTTTAACCAAAAATAATAAATAAGTGCAATAAAAAAATAAATATTTACATAAATAAATATTTAATTTACTTTACTTTCAATTTACTTTAATTTACCTAAATTTACTAGAACTCGCACACGTCCTTATATACATAATATTTGAATTTTAATTAAAATTAATTTATTACTTTGGTACACTTGAATTGATCCAACTTGAATAAATAGTTCAATAATATGTATGAGCACACAGAGACATGTCCTTTGTAAAACAAAAAAAGTCATTTTGTTTTTGTTGGGATTTTAATAAAGTCTTCAAAGCTTTTTCGATGGTGTGGAACATTTCGAAAACTTTTTGCCAGCAAAGCAACAACATTTATGCAATAAACCGAAAAACTCTACTGCCAAGAGCTGTAAAGTAGCGAACTGTTTTTTCTGAAATCAAAACATTCACAAATTTTCAATCTTTTTTAGGTGAACATTGCCACTTACAGTTGCAACCGCATCCACTGTTGCGGTACAGTCAGGTTCAAAAGCACTTAAAAACGCAAAAATACCACAAAAACTTTATAATTTACTCGTGAGCGTCACAGAAGAAATTTTACTTGCCGGCTAATGTCTAAAAACTCAAAGGCTGCCTGCCATTCCACTCGCAGAGCTTGTTCCGTTCAGTTGCTTTGTTTCATGTTGTTTTTTATTTAATATTTTATTTTAATGGAAACTTTTCTGACAAAGCATATATTAAATATTCTACATTTTGAACATTGTTAAGAGCTGGTAATCTCAACCATCTATAGTAGGAAAAACATATTTTATAAATAGTTCTTTGTTTTTGTTCCTTAGCCTTGTGTTGTTTTTGATTAAGAATATTTTGAAAATTTGTTTACCAGTTTAAATTTGTAAACATTTCTTTCCTTTTTATTTATATATATTAGGATATATTAATTTTTTCACTTACTCTATATACACACCGAGTCCAACGACCTTACAACATTTGAATACCTGTTAGATAATACGATTTATCAAGTCCTCCAAAATATACATCTGTTTTCCATTCCACTGTATTATTTAATGCAAATCTCTTTCCCCTGAAGTCATCTTCTCAGTTTTGGGAAAAGGTGATTGGGAGCCAAGCCTGGAGAATACGATAAGTGGGAAA